TTTTAGTTGGCTTAGAAGGAGTCCTCTATTTTAATTTTTGAATACTGTTTTAATAAAAATTTGATTTGGCGAATTTGCAACGATACTTCCTTTCAATTTTATTTATTAACAAATATAAAAAAAATCATGAATATGTATACAATTTATATACAATTATTAGTCTTTATTTTTTATTCTTTTAAGTAATTTTTTGAGCCAATTTTAAATTCAAGTACGAATCAAGTCCTTCGCACGATTTAATTAAGGTAGAAGTCTTAGCTTTGAGTTGACTAATTTAGACTTTGTGTCTGTAGGGGCGTATATTTGACAAGTTGGGCCTCAGGCAAATATTTGCGCCTAAAGTGAAATACTTAGACGAGAGCCATTTGCCCTAATGACTCTAATTTTTTCTGGCACTTTGCGCTCATACTTAGAGATAATTATTTTGAATAGTACAGCGGTGGTATTGTGCAAAGTTAGCACAACTTTTGCCAGCTATTTTAACAGCAGTGTAGGTTTGCTCGTCTTTCAGTTAACTTCAGCTTAATTTGCTTTGAAACTATTTTTATTGTGTGCGGCCAACAATGAAATTTCTACTTATCTTCAGCTACTCCTTTGACAAAACTTTCATTATTTTTCCTCTTGATCCTTATGGACTCATGTTATAAATTGGCTTAATTCTGAAAGTGGCGAGTTCTGCAGTCGACAGCAATCGGCATTTTTGTTGGCACCACTACACCGCTATCTAATGATGTCCGAAGCGACATCCAGGATAACGTCGTTTTTGTTCATCTCCCGGAGTGGATATCCGAGGTGATTCCGGGGAGGATATTGGCAGGGTTGTCGTTAAAGGTCATCACTGAGCGTAGTTATCTCGATGGGTTGTCGTGATAACTTTGAAATATTATTTAAACGCTCGGTTTGTGACAAATCCATTAGTCGATTCGTGTGTCTTGGAATTGAATATAACATGGTCAGGGGTGGGGGAACAGACTTTATTAATCGTAAATTTCCTACCTCTTTAATTCTAGCCTGGAGGAATTGAACGTTCCCCCAGACTCAAAATTGTATGTTTGATTTATTCGACGTGTTCCCAAGGGAATATAAACGCGGTCTCTACATCGGAAATTTACAGTCATCCAAAAATGGAGCTCTTTGTTGGACAAAACTGATCTCTACTAACCCGAGCTTGTAATTTTGAGATAAAGGCGAAACTTTTTTCCTGCTTCACTGAATTTTTAATCAGATTGATAAGAAATTTGGTGACATTCTAGAAACCACCTAAAAATTGTTTACTGCACTAGACCGTTAAACCGCAAACATTGCTCGTAATTCGCTCTGACCTACTTCGTTTTAATCTTATTTCCACTTTTATTAGACTGATTCCAAGCCGTAGCCTGAAATTCCCATTCAAATCAACGACTCATGACCGTGAAACCAGAGCCATTGATAAAGGAAAAAGTTTCTATTACAACCGATTGGAAGTAAACATAAAAGACATCAGTTATGTGTTTATATTTCCTCCTCGTAGCTTCTTCTTCGTAATCATTAATCAATATTCGCCAACATGGGGGACGACATTTTGTCCAACAACGTCTTAAAAAATCTGTACCCAGCCATCCTTCGAGTCTCATTACCGCTAAACTTCAAACACAAAAAGTTAGATCCTTTCATGCATTCCCGGCCCGGGGGATTTCGAAATACCACAGCGTGGCTTCGGAAAATATCATTTTGTTCTAAATAAATTTAACAAAATGCTATAGTACGAGAAAATATACAAATGACATTCTATCTAATCGTAATTTGCTTTAAATTCAGTTCAAAAGTCGTGTGGATGCCAGAAATTGCTTTGGCTTAAAACGTTTAGAGTGATTTTTGTTGTTGCAAGAAAAATAAAAACGTCACGAACAGAGTTTTCTACTTTAAAGTGTTTTAAAAGTTTGTTGAGGTATCGAGAAGTGTACCTAAATCGTGACATTTTCTATTAGTGAAAAATCATTCAGTCGGGTGATAAATCAGATTTCTATTTACCGAAGTAATTGAGTAATTTCAAAGAATTGAACGGTTTTATAAATTTGTAATGCTTTTAAAATAAATTAGTTGGGAGTCGGAAATGCTTCAATGATTTGCCCTCACAAAGCCATTGTCAATCCAATTTATTTGACAATTTAGTACATGTTCTGTAATTTCACAGAGATTCATATAACACAGAATTTGGATATGTTTCTCCAAGCAATGCCACTGATTTATGGGATGTCTTGTTAGTAGCGATGATACTTCAAGAATGATATAGGAGGCCGAATTTTGGACAAATATTGGGTCTATAAGCTGGACCAAATTATATCAAAACATTTTCATCCTCTTACAAACTTTTAGATTTGTTTATGTAAGCTGATATGTCTTTTTAGTTCCACAAGTTCATGTTTACACATTTTCCTGCAGCTTATGTCTGTTGTAAAAAATTGTTGTTGCCAATTGGCTTGCTTCCAAGTTTAGAAAGGAAACTCATTTGTGCCAGCTTTGATTAAAGAATTTTTATTTCCACGTTTGGGACACAGGAGGTTGAACGTTTTAAAATATTTCTTAATAAATAAAGTTGTGTAGGGAGGCTAAATAGCCGTCATCAAAATTTTAATTGCTCTTTCATTCAAGGATTAGATCGTAACTGACGTTATTGTTGATATCATTTAAGTTATGTCTTTTCTAAACGATTAATTGGTTCTGTTTTGGCGGAATTTTCTAAAATTTTTTATAAGATTTAATTGGATAATAAAATGCTATTTTAGATTCCAATTATTATTATGTATGTACGTATGTATGTATAATTGCAATCGACAATTTTCATGGTACACTGAACTGTTAAATTACTACTTTACAGTGTTTAAAGCACCTAACATGTATTTGAACATTACCCAAATACAAAATTTTAAATTTAGTCTTTAATTGCGAACTCAAACAAACTGCACACACTTGCAGTGAATTTGTTTTCGTGATTTACATTGAAATAAATGCGAAGCCAAATAGTCTATCACTTCGGCAAATAAATGAAGGTTTTAAAATAAGTAAACTTTCAGCGACAAACTAAAGCTCTAAATGTATTTTAGTAGCTTCAGCATAGATTTTAATATTTTTTCGTTTACGTGTTAGTTTAAGAATCTTCTTTGTGCACTCGGAATTTTAATGAAGTTGAGGTACCCTTAAACACTTTTATTTGTAGAAGTTTTTGTGGAAAATTAAGAAAAACTGGAACTGGAAAGCTCTATTCACTAGACAGCTGACAAATTCATAAGGCTGCTCTCTTTTTTCCGCCAGCGAAAAACATGTATATCTCTTGCAAAGACTGTGATAGATGGCGGAGGTGGCTATCTATTAAAGCTGGCCACTCCACGGTCCCTAATTTATTGCCATTCCGCTCAATTAAGAGTGTGAAACAAATATGAACCGTTGGAATTAGCGAAATACTCAATGAAAGGTTTTGGTATTGGTTGAAGCTTAAGATTTTTGGATTTTGTATAAAAAAACATTTTTTTTCCACTATTATACAAGGTGTTTGACGATTGCGAGTAAATATTTTACGCACTAATAGGACTCGTCAAAAGAAACAACTTTCGTTATTCCAACTTTTGTCGAAAGCACGTCATTTTTGAGTTAAAATTAAAAATAAATTGAGGCTGGAATCCCGTCCCCGCCTATGTCTTAATACGATGTTTAGAATCATTCATAAGAAAAAACTTTGGAACGTAAACAGTGTAAAGACAAAAAATTATCGTTGCATTAGGGTAGATCAGTGTCAATGTTAGTGGGTCAATACTTGCTATTATAAAAAAAAATAAAAAATGTGGTCATTAGTTGGCAATGCACACTTCTTGTACTCTTCGGGCTAGGGAAGCTTGCGTTCGCACACACAGCTCTTCGAAGGTATAAATTTGAGCTGCGTACACTAATTCACTAATTGTTTCATGTGAACCCCCAAAAAACACACGTATTTCAATCTGGTGACCGCGGTGGTTATTGGCGACCAATCCATCTCTAGGGAAAATGATTGTTCAATCCATTGGTGACGACTTTGTCAAAATCTGATGGAGCCCCACTTGTAAATACCGCATATGTCGCCAAGGGCACGTCCTCCACCAGATTGGACAACACATTTTTCAAAAAATACCGATAAACGGCACTAGTTAAACGTTGAGGTGAGGTCCAATTTGGTGATCTTCAATGATCGCTGCCCAAACATTTAGTGAAAATCGGTCTTGGAAGTGATGTCCGTACACTAGTTAATTTGGAGTTTGAGTAGTTGGCCATAATGACAATTGACTGACAATTTGATTTTAAATCGATGTGCACAATTCACCCGAAAGCGCATTAACGACTAACTAAACTGACACGTCTAAACAAGTGATAAGTTTTTTGGACAAAAAGTTTCATTTTTTCTGTATAAAAACTTTCACGGTCAACATATTTATTTTCATTGATATTTTTACTTCCAACTAACAAGGACAGACACACTGAACGGCTCGTGAAAATCATAGGGGGGAAATTGCAAAAATAAAATTTGGATACGGAATTTGTTTGGTCTTCAATTCATAGCAAATTATCTTAGTGGTTAAAATATTTGCTCGCAATCCACAAACACCCTGTATAGAATAACAATATTCTTGGTTGATTTTTAAGTACAGAACACTCACATTCTTTAAGAATGATGCGAGAATATTCTATACTAGTGTTAGAATTATCACAGATGTAGCGCCATCATGACATTCATATAAATTTTTGGATAAATTCGTTCAAATTGTTTCTAACCTTTAGTCATGGAAAAAGTATAGTCTGAAACTCGTTTAGAATGACATATTCCGCACTCTATTCTAAACTTTTAATAGAATATACTATTTTCTAAATTATTTGTATTATTATTTCTTTACAAATAATTGATACCGAAATCTCTACTCTGCACTGTCTAATTATTTTGTCAATTTTAGGTTAGTTCTACTATTTTGATTTTTTGTTTTATTTTCCGACTTCAGATCTCTTCTCTTGTGGAGCAGCATGGTACCATCGGCGCCCTCCGCCCGTCGGCGGTGGCGAGAGTCGGTCAAGCCGTCAACATGGCGGTGGAGCGTTTCGTCACCGTCGGTGAAGCGATCGCTGATGATTATCCTGAAGTTCGACAAGGCATGTACGAAGCTTGCAAGGAAGCGCGCCAAGCTGGTAAGATGGCCATAATATCATCGTGTAGTGTCATGGCAGCTGACCCGAACGATTTCTTGCCGGTCAACGAGTCGGAACGTGCTTGGCAAACGGAAATTATTTTTCAAATCCCATCGGATTTCGTGCACCTTCCTTCCGCCCAGCATCAATAAAGTCGAACGACTAATCTGATACTTTTCGTGGCTGGGGGCGGCGTGAATTATCGCTTTTGGAATATCATGACCGGTTCAATTTATTTTTTTATTGCCGAGGTTGATTAAAAAGCGGCTTCTTGCGGTGTTTCGTGACGCAGTGCTTTTTAACCCCGAGCAAGTGACAAAGCTGTCTCAAGGATAATCTCTAATGCGGACGAAAAGATGTCTGCTGTGGGGAAACTCACCTGAGTTTCTCGAAGATTTTTAATTAAAAAAAAGTAAGGCGAAAATAGAGGCTTTTGATTTGTGGTAAGGAAATGAAAAAATAAAAGTAATTAGAAATATACAAGTTAATAATTATTTTCGCAAAGGTTCTTGTAATAAGTATTTGGTCAGAGAAAATAGAAATTAAAGTAGTTATTTTCACTGTTATGGAAGCTGATTAAAAAAAATTGTTCATTTCTAAATCAAACGTGCAAGCGAAAATTACTGCAAGCATTGCATGAAAATTTTTACATTTCAACTTTGTTGAAACTCAAATAAAAATTTTTGTGTTTGCATAAGTTGTAAATCAAGAAAACTAGAACTGCTTGATTGAAATGGGTCAATGGGAATTTAGAACAGAGAAAGTTTATTCAGTTCGAAAACAATGATACTACTCAGATAATTTTTTGAAGCTGAATAATGACCGGCTTTATTTCTATTATTTACTTTATTTCCAATTATCGCCGATGTCAATCCATTAAGTGGAGTAAATGAACCATAAAGAGCTCATATGTATGTTTAACGTCACACACAATACCTGACACTCTCTGAAATTAATTTCGGTTGGGGATATTGGTTGTCGGGATAAAGCAGGCACTTTTTGCTTATGCTCGTATTTAGATTTGGAAATGTTGAAGCTCGGTAGACTACTCTCATTTATTATTAGAATATTTTTGAAGTTCTCAGAGGATTTATTTTCCATTCATTTTTTAATGAAGCCCTTTTGAAAGCGCGTTCTTTGACGTAGGCATCTTACGCGTGCCGACTTTGCGTGAAAAATTTATTCGTTGGCTTGAAAAACGGTAACATCTGCGAACACCAGCGTTGGTTATCTCGGGTACATTATAAAACAGGAAACAGTCCTCCTAACGTAAAAACGTTTGACATAAATTTTATTCAAGAAAATATCTTTTTGACCGGTTTGAGCTTTGCGAAAGCACAAAAGCAATCAATGTTGGCACCAGACTCTCATTAATAACGTTTTTTTAATTATCTGACCTTGTCGGGGTAGTAAAATTTCGTTTCTGTGGGCGTTTGTTGAAAGGTGGCTCGGCTCCTTCGAGATACGTCGCGTCTAATTTCAGTTAACGTCACTTCATTCAGGATCATAATTTTTCACAGAATTTTAATCGCCCGTTGCTATTGAAACGGTTTAAAAACGTTGCTTGATAAGTTTCTTCCTGAATAAGAAAATTGTCTACTTTGCTGCTCCTATTCAGAAAAGATGAATGTTTACCTATTGCTGCTCAGTAGTCACGTTTATATCGGCAAGAACGTGAATATCTGGGACATCTCCAATGGAGGTGAAGGTTTTTCAGGGAGTTAATGCGTTTTTAATCCTCCCTACCTTCTCGAGTCCTTTTTGTTGGCCGGATTTAGTCGTGTGTAAGAAATTAAGATTGGTGGATATTGTCGAACCGGATTTACGGCACACTTTGATGCGTCTTCAAGCACACTCTTGAAGAATTTGACTTTTTGTCTGAAATATTTGCTTGTTGATTGAGTTGGTAATCTGCAGCTTTGTCTCAACTGCACATCATTAATTCTGTCCAAAGCTTTGCAAATTAATCAACATTTGAATCTGCAACATGAATAACGTGCAAACACGCGAAGAGTACGAACGCTAATCTCGAATAATCGCATTAAAACTTGTCATTTTTATTCGGTGGAAAATTTTTCAGCGTCCCGAATCGTGGACATGTTTATATCCCCATATAATTCCTGCGACGGTCTGCTTTTATTCGACAATTCTTCTCGTTAGCTCTCGATTTATTCCTTAACATAAAACACGGCTCTTCTTTTCTTCAATTAATTCCAAATGAAGTGGGCGTTTTAATTGTAATTTATTCTAGATTTAATGTTGCTGTCTTATGTCTAAGCCCCGAGGAAACGGTTTTGGTCATGAAGAGGGATTAAGTTAAATTTCAGCAATTTCTCCATGACCCACTTGAAGCCCTTCTTCATCCATTACGACTCTGGCAGTCACGTCTTTCTCAAGATCAAATTTGACGGCGTTTTTGCAAGCTCGTTTCTCAGTCTCCTTGTTGAGGCTCACAAACAGAGATTTTAAAAATGTATACCAATGTAACCTAAGTTGTATCTTTGTGTTGTTGTACAGATTTTCCTGCTGAGCCCGGTCACATGTGCTGCTTATTCCTGCAAATTTTGTTTGCTTTTCATTTATTCCTTTGGGGCTCTACGTTTTAGCCGGTTATTGATTCTTTTCAGCATGTGGGCTCCGTAAACAGAAATCATAATACCTACTCTTCTGCTTTAGAGATTAAACTAACACGAATTCAGGAGTTTATTTTTGGTGTTGCAGGACAATAACAATGCTGTTATCTCTTAAATTTTCGAGAGTATGATGTAAAATTCAGGTATTTTGTGTGCTTCTGTTTATTCAACTCATAAATTTTCTGGGTCTTTAAAAATACACTTTAATTAAAAATGCTGTTTTGCAGAAAAATGGAAATATCTAGACGGAGTTAATGTTTTTGTCTCTTCAGGAAATAGAATAAACATTCCTTGTTAAACAATAAATGCATATTGCGTTCGCAGGCGGAGTCATCGAGCAAATTTGCGAGGAAACCGACGAGGAGGTCCTCCCCGACCGGGGCACCCTAGTCCGGGCAGCGCGTTGTCTTCTGGGGGCCATCACACGGGTGCTCCTTCTGGCGGATATCGTAGTCGTGAAGCAGCTCCTCTTGGCCAAAGACAAGGTGATTACCACTCTGTACTCAATCAGAGATAAAACATAGCATGTGTCAGGTTTCCCATAGCTTGGATCGATTAGAATCTGTAAACAATTTCACCGAATTCGTGAAAGCGTTTAGCCAATTTGGGGCGGAAATGGTCGAATTAGCGCATTTAACGGGCGACAGACAGAACGATTTGAAAGACGAGAGGAGGAGGGCCCAAATGGCTGCAGCCAGGCAAGTTCTGGAACGATCCACAATGATGCTTCTCACTTCTAGTAAGGTGAGTGTCAGATGGCAATTTATTTTCGGATTTGAACGGTTCTTGATTGATTAGACTTGCTTGAGGCATCCAGACTGCAGCTCGTCGAGGGAGAATCGCGATACGGTCTTCTGTCAGATGCGGAGGGCGATGGATTTGATACATTTCGTTGTTAAAGACGGAGTTTTGAATTCGAGCGAGTCGAATCAGCCTTCAGATGAGTTGGAGGGCGACAGGGCGAGCGCCTATGCCTGCATGAGGCATCTGCAACATCTGCTCGAATTGAATAAAGTTGCAATGGGTAGAAAGGAGAATTTTGGAAAGTAGTTTATTCGAAAAGTTTTTTTTAGATCATTCCTGTCAGGAGAGTCTCCCAGCTGCGTTAGAAGCTGTCTTAGAAAAAACTCAGGATTTCACTGATAGTGCCTATACTAGCCACGAGCATAGAGAAGCTATTCTAGAAAGTAGTGAACGACTAAAGACCGAAGTGGATCATCTTTTAGGACTTTATGCTAATATTGTAAGTAACAATCGATTCTAAACCCATTAATAACTTATTCAACGCCATGCGTCTGTAAAATATTAAAACACTGGTTTTAGTTTTATTTGAAACTCCCAACTGCGACATCCTAAATTAAAAAACAAAAAGACATGCGCGTTGTACGTGCTCTTAATATAAATATTCTTTACATTTTATTGATGGTGTGTCGCGTTTAGCCACAAGCGTAATATTTCACTTCTATCCCCAAATTCAAAAAAAAATTCAAGCATTATCATCACACTTGAATTTTTTGTGCCTCCGTCTGGCGACAAGTGCACTCCAACCTCTTGCAACTTTAGCCTTTCTTATCGATTAAATTTTTTCTTTCATTAGTGAAAGGCCGTTTTGAGTTTTGCGAAACTCTTCGGAAGCCTTGAGTAATTAACTTAATTTTCAAGATGGAAGACCTAATGGTAGTTTCAGTACATGTCAATCTTAAGTGTCAGCAGTCAAGCTCGGCAGTAAATTTTCCAAGAGCTTTACAATTAAGTGAAATTCATTTAGTCTCAAATGAATTTGTTTTCCTAGTGCGGGACCGACGAGAGGGTTTAATAATGTGTGTAATCCACGAAAATAGGCGTTTTTTTCGGATTTGGGAAATGCGCTAGAGAGGTCGTAAAACCCAACTGTGTCAGAAAATGGTGCTCGTAAATTAAGAGAATGAAAATAGGGTAAAATATATCATTTGTGTATGGGGCCAGATTATGAAATAATTGCGAACAATGTGAAGCTTTCTAGTCTGGTGGGTTCCCACTAGAAATTTTAGTTGCGAATGGAAACGACTGTTCTTGTCCTCAGGTGAACTTTCTTTAATTGTACTATAACTGAAATCTTGTCTGGGTTCCAACACTAAATTGTACATTTTTTAATATTGTATTGTTTACAGGGTGGATTAATTCAACTGTCTGATATCAGCAAGTCCGGGAAACAGCCTTCAGCTCAAATAAATTGAATTGTCCATTTATTATCTCTAAAATGCTTTAATATCGGAAATGATACAAACAGATATGACCCAGATTCAATTTCAAAGTTGATATTGATCTGTCAAGTTAGTTTTCGATTAAAACAGTTACTAAAACAAATTGAAAAAGGGAGTTTCTATAAATTCAGCATACAATAATCCCTAATTTATATACTTTCTAAGCACTTACTATATTAAACTTTTGTGGAGTGTATTGCAGATGTCGTCTCGCAGGTTTTTATTTATTCCATTTTGTTGATGGCTTTAAAAAGGATTGTTAGCGACTATGAAATGTAATGTAGTGATTAATCCTAATTGCGATATGAACGTATTACAGTGACGATAAAATTGTCGAATTCAGTTATTCGTTTTAAATTTCATGTAACGTATTAACTGATAAAAAACCCTGAATAATAAATACACTCTCAATGATGAAATATTGTGTTTCAATTTGTGTTGCTCGTAAACGAACTTTCGTCTCCATTACATACTTCTTTCGCAATTTCGCCGTTCACATAAGAACAACTTCATTACATTTTTATGTTTCATTTTGGCGTTAATACAGTTCGTCGAGTCAAAACTACGACTCGGGAGACTGTATTAAAACATTATTACACATTTCGTTCATAAAACAAGTCCAACGAAACAACAGGATCTACTATTTATGTTTCTACGAAGCAACAGGACATTTTTCTCGCTCTATAAATGAAGGAACGCCAAGTTTGAGTGATTTTAAATCTAAGAATTGATTGGATTTGTTTAGCTTAGCTTCAGAGTTCAAGTTTGGCACTTATCTTCTTAACTGTTAGGTTTTATTGAGTTTATGTAAGTTTTCGTCTTTTGAGAATCGTATAAGAGGCTTAGTGTAATTGTTGTGACAAGAATTCTAGCGGTTTTAATAAAAGCAAAATGAAATGTACGTCGTTTGGGAATATCGCCAGAAATTGATTCCTCACTTACCTGGCGGTTTAAATCAAGGTTTGCAATCATTTCTGGCAAATTAGAGTTTGACGTCATCGTCATTTATAACCAATTAATGTTTGATTGGAATAGAAGAACGTCGTGACACAAGAGGGATTCGCCAAATTGGGTCAACCTTGATAGCAGATTATTAGAGTTGGATATTTGGTAGTAGAAGCTAATTAGGCATGTTGGAATTATATTCAGAACAAGTTGGGACATTGTATTAAAATTTATTTTTGGCCTCCTGACATGTAAATGTCAAATTAACGTACAATTGACACCTATTGAAAGACTGTATTTACAGTCGCCTGAGCATTTTACGCACAGACGAGTGTAAAGTGACAGTTTTACCGCACTGCCAAAATTATCTTCATAGACTTTTATAAAAAAAAACTGTTTGTAAGATGATAACATTTTTAATAAAACGCTCTACACACAACCTTTCAATCTTAGAACTCTTTTTTCTTCACACCACTTTATAATTATAAACACATTGTACTGGGCTTCATACCTTGCTCGCGATTTTTCGGGCAATAGCTCGGTTGTAACATTTCCTGCAGCACTTCTGATTTCTGGTGGGGTACACATGGGGCTATTATCGCTCGACATTTTGAAGCATAAATTCACCAACAAGACAACAATAACAAAACTTTGTGTCTGAGACGTTTTTGCGTCTTTTTTAATTGTTTGACATTAGAGTGCATAGCCACCGTGATATTTAATGTCAAACGTATTTACTTGTATTAATTCTGAATTTTGTAGATTTTTGTTTAAACGTCGGCCAAAAAGCTTAATACAAATCTTGTGCGTTAACCATTTTACAGTGCTCAATTATTAAAGCACTCCGCTGCGCGTCGTGCTTCAAATTCATTTCGCACTGTAAAATGTAAGTTACCGCACACGAATGTAAATAACTATTTAGCGGTTATGGATAGTTTTTAAAAAATTACTATTCAGAAAAAGTAAAATGCTATTAAATTTTTATTTATCGGCCTAGAAGGTGTCTAATTTTGTGTTTTTTTGCTTATATCCACAAAAAGCAGGTTCGCTGGCTAATACCGCACTCTCTTAAAAAACTATTAATAACAGAAGTAACGTAAGGATTATTGTAAAAATTGTAAGCATTGTGATTGGGTCGTTTAAGGTCGGCCATTATAATAATGTAAAAAACCAATCACTTTAGATTTTTGGATTCATTCAAAAATTTATTGCAATGATGTGATTGGTCCATTTAAGTCGGCCATCATTATAATTTGCGTAACCATGGAGAAACCAATCACTTTAAACTTTAGTTTAATTCAAAAATAGGGAAAGTGCTTAATTCAGTATTGCATTCATTCATCAAGATAATTCCAAATTTTAGTGAAAACGTGGTGATGCCCTTTATGCGCTGTCTATTGTGAATATATTATGATAGAGAATTTGCACCTTGTTATTATGTTTTATCGTAGTTAATTAGGAAAAATAACACCTTAGACCTTAAAATAGAAAGAGGAATATTAGTGTTTTACTCATCCTGTGTGCTAATTTAACGATGAGGATACAAAAGTGAAAAATTCCTTCGAATTTTGAGATTTTCATGCAAAAATACAGTTAAGAAATCAAACATAACCTCACTTTCTTGGAGGAAGGTTACAGGACTCACAGGGGGTATGGAAGCTGTCTTCTACAGTACATTAATTGTAACATTTCGTTAATTACTTTTGCTATAAACTTGAGATTTAGGCGCCATGCAAAGTGAAGCAAAAAATGTGTTTTAAGGAGTGCGATATTTGCTAGAAAACCATTCAAGATACAAAAAAAAAAAGGAGAAACTTGTCTTGTACAAAATTTTATATGCTTTAATTTAGCACATAACCATTTTTTTAGTAAGTCGCACTGGTTTAGAGATTTAAGGGAGAAACTATAAAACGGCACCTTTTTGTTGTCCCCTTACATCTTGCTCAACTTGAAGGGGGGAGGACTTGTAGCCTGTTTACCTCCTAACTAATCCATAGCCCTGAAGTCAAAAATTGTGTTTCCGACGATATATTTTACAAACTTTTTTGCCTGTTCCTTAACTAGGCTATAAAACTTAGGTATTCTTTTTGAGTGCAACATTCTGAAAAAGATTATTCAGTGTTACAGTGATTTAAAAAAAAAACTGAGTTTTAGTTATTTATGAAAATCTGTTTTGTTCAACAAAAAATTTTTTTTCTAACTTCTGATGAAGAAAATAAAGAAATTGCTTGTTATGCTATCATCACAGAGTTTTGTCAGACTTTTTTTTATAAATGAAATGTTTAAATTTAAAAGGAAATAAATTTCTTAGTTGTCAAATGGATAATAAACGTTTTAATTTCAAATTTCATCATTTTATTATCATTTTTTCAGGAGAAGGCTCTTAATAATGTGTTTTTGTATACGAAAAAAGTTCTAGCTAGAAGACTCTGAATTTGATGCACTTTATTCAATTGAATTTGTGTTTCAGATTGATTTCGAGGGTGCTATAAACTGTCCAGAATTTGAGAATTCTGTCTCGGCTTGTATAAACTCCGCTCGCGATTTGTCCCGCCACTTGGCCAACGCCGGCATTCAGCAAGCACAGGAACTTAACACTGCAACTAAGCAAGGACTGGAATTAGCTAATAGTATTCGCCAACAGGCTATAATGTCTGATGTTGATAGACTTCATCACACCTTTGATGCCTTTCAAGATTCAATCGACCACATTTTGGAAGTGAGTCAGTTTTTCCCAATATTTACCTTCTGCAAATCCCGCATTGCAGGTCTGTAAATTGCTGAGACATGTCGCCGTCTCCGAAACCCTTCAGGTGTCTGCAAAATTTACAGAAATTAATCTGAGAGTTTACGGGCCACAGGTGATCACCGCTGCTAAAACCCTAGCGGCCTATCCAGGTAGTAAAATTGCTCAAGAAAATCTAGAAGTTTTCGCGGATATGTACCAGTGGCTTGTGTCCGATGTTACGACAATCGTTAAAGACGTGCTGGAAGCCAGTCAGGCTAAACCGGAAAAGCAGGTTTATATGTCACTTCCGAGACCTGGTGTAAGTTAATCCGGGTTTTTATTGAGTGGGATTATGGGAATCGGTTTCAGAAACACGGGACTACATCCAAACCCCTCAAAGCGGTCAGATTAGACACTGAAGAACAAGAGAAAATTGCCAAGTCGGGTTTAGAGATGAAGCTGATAACCAGCGAAATGGACGCCGAGACGGATAAGTGGCAAGAGAGCAACACACAAGTGGAGGTAGGCGTCTCAAGAGATCTGAAATATGCATTTTTATACCAACAGTAGCAGCTGTAATTCAATTCCTAAGCGTGGGAGTGTTAGAATTTGAAATTGGGTCTGTTTGTGCCAACCCACGTCTAACTAATCTAATTTTCGAGTAGTGTTGGAGCTTGTGGTGTTTGATAATCCCACTTCGAGTCTTAAACATCAACCAAAAACCGTGTTACTGCTTTCAGGAAAATAACGACATAGTGAAAAGAGCCAAGAATATGTCTGCTATGGCTTTCTCAATGTACCAATTTACCAAAGGTGAAGGCGTTTTAAAGACAACTCAAGACTTGTTCACACAGGCCGAATATTTTGCCGAAGAGGCTAACCGATTATATAAAGTTATTAGACAATTTAGTTATCAGGTATTTTTGTTTAGGTGTTTTAGTCCACTTTTCGTATATATTAAATTTAAGGTTCCTGGTGGTGCTAACAAAAAAGAGCTTCTGGAAAACTTGGACAAAGTGCCAACTTTTGTACAACGGTTGCAATTCACTGTTAAAGATCACACTGTTGGCAAAGCGGCCACTTTTACAAAAGTTGACAACGTTATTCAAGAAACTAAAAATCTTATGAATGTTATCTCGAAGGTGGTCACCACCTGTTTCGAATGTGCCACAAAGGTAGGTTTCTCAAACGACAAAAATTGGTGTTGTGTCGGTGTTTTTTATTTTATTTCGTTGATTCAGTTCGGTATTGCAATGCCACAGAGAATACGAGTTCCGTGTCCACCGCTGGATGTTCATTTAAATCCAAGAGATTCCATTAGGTTGACCAAATTTGATTATGCGACTTTGCCGAGATAGTAGCTGGTGATTCAATTTGATTTTTTCGAAATTTACTAATTTTACCTTTCTTCTAACAAACTAACACTGTTTTTATTTTACATAACACACTAATTCTCTTTGTTTTCAGTATTATATAGCGTCAGATGATACGGATTTTGTTCCGAAATTTGACCAGGCAGGGTTACAGTAGCTTTGTAGTTGGCTAGATTTTAGCCACTTGTAGTGCTTGTCTGATGTAAATACTAGTATTAAGTGCTAGCGGTGATAGAGAGGGTTTAAGCTACTAACGCTTTATTTTTAGTACAAACTGGAGTTCAGGGGTTCAGGTGCTGGTAACGGCCGTGGTGCCGGTGGTGAAGGTGGTTCTTCCAGTGGCAGCGGTACCGGCGGAGATAACAAAGGTGGAGGTGCTACAGGCCAAGACCAAAACTTATGACAGATGGGGATGTCCCGGCGCAATAAGGGGGACTCGAGGCGTACTCGAGTTTCCTTCTTATTGTTCTAGGACATCAACCCCTATTGTTATTGTTACAAAGCTTCACTACTTTGGTCTTGCCTTCATTATGCTCATTGTAAACCCATTACCAAAGAATGTTTTAGTCGATTTTGTTCAAGTTTTTTCAACTACTGTACAGTATTGTTATGTCACCATAAATATAGATAATCAATAAGAATGATTTTGAGGAGAGAGTTGACTGAAAGGGCATCGAAACAACCGATTTTAGTTTAGTCGGTTGTTTCGATTACATATCGAGGCAAGGGTATAAACAGGGATGGATTATTAAAAAAAAAAAACAATCATATTGATAATTAATGTTACAACCCTACACCAATTATTTCTTGTAACTCCAATATACTCATGTATTTATAGTATTTTTTAATATAAATAGTATTAAAAACATTAATGTGATCTCTTGAATTTTTTATTTTTGTAATAAGTTCAGTTAAGGTATGTGTTTACTCTAAAAATAGAATGTTTTACAGTGTTTTGATTCTAATTGTCTGCTGATGTGTGACTGTAACTCAGACTATTTATGAAATATTAAAATTAGGATATACTTAAATTGTTGTGCCTGTAACATATTTATACTGAACTCTTCTAGTTACGTTTTTAGTTACATATTTTGACTGTATTTTATATACAACTTTTGCTTTTCTCTCGATACCAAAGTTATGTCATTAGTTTATGGAGTAGTTTGTATAGAAAAGAGACCTATATGATATTTTCATGACCAGTAGATTTTAGATTTTGTACCTTTTAAATTGTATACCTAATTGTTAACGTGGAGATCGGTGTGCTAAAGAGAGATTATTGTTGGTGTTTGAAAGTGTTTATCGCAGGGTTGAGTAATATCTCTTAATAAAGCATATAATGTAACAATTTGTGTGGTTTGGTTTCAATGAGACGCTTTCTACAATATAAACATGGTTTATTCATATTAATTTGTCAGTTCCGTGTGTGACATACAATCATAAATCTGCACATCGCTTAGCCCATTCCGTCACTTAGTTCGTGTAGCACTTTGAGTCTCACCTCGATTAGCACATAAAAGTGGTTAAATAACACAGTTCACATATTAGTAGCCTAGTATACTTTTGATTCGAAGGGCCGAATAAAATCTGGTGGTAAGTAAATCTAGAATGTAGGTAAGAGTATGATTATCATATATCACGACACTTATAAGCTGCTTATCTTATACATAATAAAAATAATCTTTCCTAATTACACATGGAGCCATACACTCATCATTTGCATCACGAAGCTCACGTCTGAAACTGGACCGTTTCCAAACGTGAGCTAATCTTAATTTTAACTCTGTAATTTTAAAATACACATAATTATTTACAGTAATACTGTGTATATAGAATAAGTAGAAATATTTTAAAAGCTTCTATGCTATCTGTATTTACATATAAAATTAGCGTAGATACGTATATAATGGCAGGTTCACAATCTGGGATGTCGAACTGAATGAGCAGTGACGGCCGATACCCCTAGGTCGATAGTAAAAGAGTCGATCGATTTGTCCAATGGGAGCAGAAAAATAAACGTTTGAGGTGCAAATGTGACCTTTGAAGAGTATTGGCACGTCGTGAGGAGCAGCAAATAATTAAAGCTGAGGCTATTTGGACCCTTTTACAAAAAACGTAAATACAAACAAGTGTTAAATGTTAAAACACCGTTTTAGTTATGTACAAATAAATAGAAATCTAGCTTTGTCGTGTTTCACACGTTAAGCGTACTTTTCCCGGATAATGAAGAATTGTGAAGAAATCCGGTGTTTTAACAAATGCCAGCAACCTATCAGTGACAACACGAAATATATCAAATAGTCTGAGAATATTCAACTATGACAATAAATAATTCAGCAAAACATTTAACAATTACATTGCTTTAATTTATATGGCACTATGTTAATTTTTAACAAAGAGTTACTCACCCAAACTTCTCAATTTCCTAATTGCAAAAGGAAAATTGTTTAATTATAAATTTCGCTTTTTATCATAGGCAAGTATCAAAACTTATTTATCATAAAGAAAGGTTATCATTTACAAAGTGCACATTTATAGCATTGGCATAGCATTATCAAGTGATTGGATCATTGGTAATGCTATGCGAAAATCATACGACTTGGTGTGATACCTATTAGTGAATCTATTTTACAAAGAAAGTGTCTTAAACTAAAAGCACGTCGTTTTAGTTGAAGAAATCAAAGAATGTGAATGCGACGCACAGAATGACGGCCTCGGTCGATAGTAAACTGGCCGAACTCCTATATATTCTTATTCCGAATCCATTTAGATCATTTTCTGTAACAAATACATACATTAGTCATAGATATGCCTATGTGCACTTAGTTTTGTTTATCTCAAACAGTTTGAAGTGAAATATTTTTTACAAACTACAATTTTCATTAGAACAAAGCTCATTAGAATGCATTAATGAGAGTGAACCACATAATATTGAATAACAAAATTTGCCTCCGTTTTAAGTGCAAATGCAGACGTATGCACTTTATGCAATCTAGAATTACATCCGCGTAAATGTGGTTTTAAAACCATAATCCTGTAATGAATTTACCTTCGAAAACATGCCGGGGAGTCTGGGGTCGTTCTGGAAAGGTCAATTCTGAACGTCCAAAGTGCAAGTCAAGGGAGGTGCATAGAGGGGTGCATGAAACAAAACATTTATTAGCTCTGTGCTAACGCCCTAATTAATGTAATCCACTGACCTGTGTCTGTGGTCTGAAACGTGAAAGCATCAGAAACGGGACTCCACCCGAATTTGTTCCGCGCTTGGACTTTGGCCTCGTAGCTCTGCCCCGGCACCAGCCCCCGAATCACATAACTCATCGACTGAAAACCAGAAGACTGCGAGGTGGTGGCCGGGAGGATGACGTTTCGCCAATCGGCCCTTCTGTCGATTATCTGGCGGCCGTAGCCGTTGCCCACGTTGTAGTAGACGGCGCCGTGCGTCCGGTTTTCCTGAAAATTGGATTTTAAACAATTTTCAGGGAAATTAGGGGTGGGGTACTCGGCCCGGGTTGAATTTTCTTTGACTCTGGTGGTGCAGAGGCTGCGGGTGGCCGTCGTCCGATCCTGAATTATCCGGAAGTTCCCGGAAAAGCAACTTGTATTCCTCGATCGGGCTGTAGGACTCTACGGCCCAACTGATGTTGTAGCTGTCTCGCCAGTTGCCTCGCGTCGCGCTGTTGAATTTCGCGGGGTTGGGTTTACCTAGAATTTAATTGTTTTAAAACAGTTTTGTATAATCGTAATACAATTAATATTGAACAATGTAAAACAAAGTTGCAACAAAAAGTAAGCAACAAACCGCTAGTTGGAACAAAAGTTGGGTACAAAAAACTGGTTTAACTGGAACAATAAAGTATTGAAAAAAAATCATCTGTTGTCACAAAAAATTAACAAAAACAGCACTCGTTGGAACAAGAAATCACTCGTCGGAACGAAAATTAAACGTAAAACTGCATAAAATTGTCTGGCGGAACACAAAAATTTGTTTTAATTCTGGTTTGCCCTTGTAATGTAAATAAATAACAAATTTTTTTGATGTTAATAAAGGATCTGTAAGACAATATTATAGTTATTTATTATACAAAACGATAAAGACATTATTTATCTACGAGTGAATAGGTTAAGTTTACGAGTGATGAAGTCACGAGTGCACTTTTTTCACGAGTAGATAAACAATCTTTATCGTCGTGTATAATTCGTTTTATTTTGTACTCATCTACCAGAATTTCTTAAATATAAACAGTAGATAAATATTACTTTATTTCACTAGACGATAAAAGACTACTTTATCTACTGAAAGTAGTAGATAAAAGCACTCTTTAACATTGATTACAAAATAAAAAAAAATATTTATCAAAAAAATTAAATAAAAAAACGCTTGTTAAGAACAAAAAATTGAAAAAAAAATAGTTTGTCGTAAGAAAACTAAACAAAAATTACTCTACTGAAAAAAACATTGAGCTTAAAATCGCCAGCGGTTACAGAAAATTTGTTGGTGGTAGAAAAAGCTGAGCAACATAAAAAAATTTAAAGTTTTCTAACATTTATATTCTTTGGCGATTAAACTCAACTTGTACTTGTATGAAGAATATTAGAATTCATAGAAGTAATTCGTTTATTAACAAAGCGAAGTTTTTTTAATAAATGGTCGGTTGTAATTTATGCGGTAGTATATTGGCTGTTGTTTTATTCACGTAATAATGGGGTATTTATGTGTAAAGTTGTCCATAAGTTGAGCTTTATTATCATGTTATTTCAGCTAATGTACGTGACTTGATCATGATGTTTAAAAACAGTTAATTAGATAAAAGTTTAGCTCTGAACAATGAGTGCACCATCCATAAATAATTCCTGCTGTTGTAATAACGTTAATGTACATGCATATCAAGTTGCACCAATAAAAACCAAGTAATTTATACTCTCGTCCGGTTTTATTAGCTTTTCAAAGAGCCATTAAGTCCGTTTACATAATTTAATTAAACTCAATCTTGTTAAATCAGATCTTTGCACAACCCAAGTGATAACTGGAATAATCAGAGGTGACTTCACCGAGCCCATTCAAAGGGATGTGCGCCTTGAATGAATTTTTTCTACCCATTTTGTCGCTGTGACCATGAGTTTTTATTTTTGTTTATTTTCAAGTTTGTGTCAGTTGGGAATATCACGGAAAAATAAAATATGGTGTGATCGTTTATCTGCGTAAACTTTCAAAAACTTTTTTGTTTAAGTTCGCTTCAAGTTTCCTCCAGAAGGCGAAATATTTTGAGACCAACTCTCGCTGTTTATTATTGTTACCGGGTTTGTTTTATTTTAGAGCCTCAAGGTGGGATTAATATTCATTCTGAATATTAAGATTGTTTGGATTTAGTCACGGTGTTTGTTCTTTAATTGATCGGAGAAACTTCCAGCACGCATGTAACCGTTTTCACACAATTAATTTATGGATTATCGCACATAAAAATCAGCTAAATTTCACAGTCATTTGATAACACTCGAGATATACGCGGCATACCACTTGGGTGTAACGAAAAATAAAGCTAATCTCAACTAAATAAAAAAATTAACATAAGGCAACACGAAACAAGTTGAATTCATATAGAATATTTTAGGCATTTGAAATTTTAATTAGTTGTTTTTTGTATTCTTGTACTGCAAAAGTGCAAAATTTATATTTTTAACTTTGTTGTTGTGAAGTCGGATTGTGGAAATAATTTTGGTTTGCAGCTGTCATAATCTGCGTGGTTAAATCAGTTTAAATATTTATCCACCTGTCGTTAATCATGCTTAATCTCATTAAAATACAGAATAAATCTCATTATTAGACAGATTGGTGCAGTGCATATCTGCTAATAGCATGATGCAGCATCTCCGTCATAAGTTATTCCCTCAGTAGCGACAAGCAGTAAAACTCAATTAGACGTCGTTTCAGCTGTGAAAACGTTCACCGCAGGTGCTCCGACACATATCTGCCATATATTGACTTCGGTAGATGTCACCTTTATGGAACATTAAAATCGGAACTGCAGCAATAATGTGTTATGAGTCTTGTACTGTTGTAAAACGTCTCTTTGTTGTCTATTACTCGCAGTTTAAACTTCCAGAGGAAATTGTTTGAGGCAGAACGGAATGTAATATGTTAAAGTGACACTGATGGATTATCCCAGTATTGATATTACCTGTAATAATTTCAATATGCTTCTGATGTAATTCGAGTCTATTGAGGCGAAACATCAGAAATAAAAAGTTTGCCACTTTCCCAAAGCACCCATAAAGTTTATTACTTTTTTTTATATCTTTACGTGCGTAATTGCTCAATTCGTGGCGACTCTGGGTAATTGTAACAGTTGTTGGTAAATTACGAGACCCAAAATTTAAATTTTCCATTTAAAAAGGTTGACGTGAAGACATAAAACGTCACAATAATTTTTTACGTAATTTATGGAAACTCTTGGGGAAGTTTGTAAGTTGAGAAGTGGCGGAATAAATCTCATCGTGTCGCAAGTTGGCTGAATAATTTTATCACAAGCTTAATTATTTGCAGCAGACGTTTAATTTAATGAGAAATCATATATCACTGTCGATATTATTCGTATTGACATATTTCGAAGTTCTCTCTAAACTTCCAAATTTATTTAAACAATTACCAGTCACTTCTAACTTACTGAATTATTATTCCAACTCGCAACTGTAGCAACTTGGACTTGTTAATCGATGACAGTTGAAATTGTCGCTCTAGTTACCGTTTTGCCGAGTGGTTTAAGCTAAACCGAACAATTATCGACGTAAACTGCCTCCTCTACAATGCGAGTGCTTTCCAGAGATCCCTCTGGATTGATCTACGACCCGTGTAAGTGGCGCTGAGGCATTTTTGTTGTTTAGCCGGCAATGTTATCTGCTCTTGTGATAAATCTTACCGGTTAATTGGACGCTCTTTCTCGTTTTTCCCAGTTGATTATCCGCCACGCAAGTGTAATTTCCAAAGTCGGAACGGTGTACTTTGCGAATGAGGAGTGTATGTCTGGAGCCGCGTGATTCCATTATTCTTCTTTCTGTTGTATCCAGCTGCATCGTGTCCCGATACCACAGCACCTGGAAATTAAGTCCGGAAATAATTAAAAGATTCCGGCAGACAAAACCCAAAGAAAAGATCCTCTTTTACAAAAAATGCTGTCCAGAGTGTGCGCGTTTATTTCTTAGTTTATTTCTCGCAATACCATACCCTTTTCATATTGCTGAAGCAACATTAAATTTAAATCTGTGGCTATTTTACAGACATTATTTATACATAAAATTAACAATGAAAGTGATTAACATGTAATTTATTGTAGAATAACTGAGAAATAACGAATTAAGATAAAACGTCATTAAACAAAGAGACAACCAAAAAAATAATTTTATATTATTCGAAATAATCTTAAAATTTGGAGTAGTACTACAAATTCTCCAAATATTTTTCAGGACTAATTAAATTCAATTACAATTACAAAAAACTGGTGTTAAACAGCACTTGATGAGAGATTTTGTTTTCTCGGGGTTAGTCTAAACAGTACTGAATAAAATTTATATTTTTTCATAATATACAGGATGTTCCATTTTTATTGTTACAAATTTAACCAGGTGATAGAATATTCAATTTTAAGATAAAAGTTTCCCATAAACATATATCGAAAAATTTTATATAAAGGAGCCACATCCCCTGAAAGGGGTGCATCTTTTAATGGATTTTTTTCCAATATTTCAGAAACCATCGTGGATAAAATTACAAAATTTGGTACAACTGATAACCTTTATACACCCAAATGAATTCAAAGATAAAATGTCGAAATTTTTACTGGGGGGTTTAGGGTAAAAAGTACCCTAACTATTTTGGCGGTTGGTTTTTCCCTCTTTCAGCCACAAAATTCTAAATTTTATAGTTTTTCACAAAAAAGAGGTCTCTTTCGTTTTTTTCGATAAAACTTACCGTTTTTGAGTAAAATCAGTTTACAATTTATCTTACAGACTATAAAGAGGATAAAAATTAAAAATTAAATTTGTTTCACCGTTTAAGAGGCCCGTGATTAAAACTTTCAACAATTGATCTTTAAATTCGTTCAGGTGTTTAAAAGTAATCAGCTGTACCAACTCTTGTAATTTTATCTATTTTGCAATAGTGGGAAAACCCCATTAAAAACGCATTTCTTTCAAGGGGTGTAGCTCGCTTACGTAACATTTTTTGTTACATGTTCATAGGAAACTTTGTCTTAAAATTGAATATTCTATCACCTGTTTAAGTTTGTAACAATAAAAACGGAACACCCTGTATTTATGACAAAAATGATTTCGTTTTTTAATTGTCTTTCTTTTCAATTATTTCCTTTTTTGACAACTTTATTGGTAGTAAGTCCCAAGAAATATAAATAGAAAACAAAGAATATTAAAAAAAATGACCTTATAGGGTTTTTTTTCATAAATGTCCCGTCAAAAAACTATTCCGTCCTTATTGTGAATAAGTGAATAGTAGCTGAATAACTATAAACATGTGGCTAGTTTTAGCAACAATTTATTCTAGTAGAGACATACGGGAATTTTTTTCCAAAAAGTAAAAAGCATTTTTATAACAATGAAATTTTTATTCAATCATTCAGTATTTTTATTAAATTTATTTAAAGGTTACCAGGAATTCAAAAATGTTTATTATAAACGAGTGTTTGATCCGTTTTCTCCAAGGGGATTAGATGAAATTAAAATGTAGAAGATATTAAAGTCGCTTTCCAATTGTACGAATTTAATAAAGTTAACGTCGCAAGTACATGTTTCGGCAATCAATTGCCGTCATCAGCCTAAATAATGATTATAACAGTTTAAACAATGGATGGACGACAAAAACATATTTCTAATTATTTTTTTAAAGTAGAAACTATTCGTGTTTTTTTTTTACAAAACCGTAATATTTATGTCTATATAATAATAGTATATTAAACAACAAGTGTTACAAACACTATCATCGTGATACCGAGTAGTTGTGACATGAGCCACACAGTGACAAATGCACGAATATCACAATAAGAGGTTGTAACACGTATTTTTTATACTATTTTTTCTATTAAGCGCTTTATTAATTGAGTTTATTATTTTTTGGCAGTTAACGTCGAATCGCTTATAAATATCACTAGTTTCAATGAAATACTAAGCGGTTTTATTTTTCAGACTAATTTAAAAAACCAATTGTAAAAATCTAAAATGGGTTGATATTTTATATTTTGAGTTGACTCGGCGCATCCACCAAATTTATGTAGTAGGTCTAAATTAATCTGCTGGCAGTACACTGATGAATTCATAAAACGTACTCGTATCATCAAAATCTTAACATTTCTTTTGTGTTGTGTTTTTCACAAAAACATATATTTGAACATAAACGGTATTACTAAAATATACACTGAAATCCGAATAAACATTTTCGTCAGTCGCAACGTTACTCAAAAAAAAAGTATGTAGGTTCTCAAGCAAATTTTCGTTCAGTTGCTAAACGTGATACGAGTATATAAATGTATATATGTTCATTTTGATCTCTGAGAAATTGGGCTGTGAGTTTAAAATCAATATTGAAAGATGTAAGCACAGTAAATGTGAGTTTTGTCAGTTTATAATTATATTATACGTAGCTATTTTCACGAAAAGGTAAAAAAAAGAATGTACCATACAGCATATTGATAATTCAAGTAAATTCAAATTCAAAATTCAAATAAATTGCAAAGTGTAAAACACGGATACTAAGATCGTGACTGTATTTATCTGAAACCATCGCATGCTAAAAATTAGTTTTAATAGGTTTGTTTGTTAGTTATCAAAAACATATTCAAAAAATATTTGTTAGTATTTTAGTAGTGAAAACCAATCAATTTCATACATTTTGAATAGACCAATTCTCGTTACTTGTTTATTTTTAACGTTCCATCGATCTCCTTTGATGGCAGAAAATTAAAAACAGTAATACCAATCGCTGTATTTTAGCCATCACAATGGAATAATACCCGCAAAAACCATATCCCAACAATTGCTTTCATTGTAATGCCAAACAAAAATCACAATTCTGTTAAATCTAATCATAATTAAACGATCCAATTTAGTATAGAAAAATCTTCATCAAATGTTAATATGTTCGGTGTAATATAACGAGATTTTTAAACAATTGTATTACCCCGATTCCGCGTTGAAACCTCGCTTGAAAAATAAAAAAAGTCACGTTTTCCAGTATTCAGGTGTTGCACAATTGCAACATATTGTAACTACACAGCATTTATACGATTTTATGTGTTTTTCTCTTCACTTCTGGCTCAAATAATAATATAATTTTTAACGTAACAATTATTAAATAATTTTTGTCGCGATCTCAATCCCAGGCTTCCTAGAATTTATTATCGGCATGTTTGAACAGAGTATTGGGTCGAAAAGTTGTTTGCATATCGTTACTCTATGTAGCTACTGAGTTTAACTTCCGTTATTGACGTAATTTATAGCATAACATCGTTACTATCGCGCCCAGCACTCTGAAAAGCAATTTTTCAGTCACTGCAATACCTGTCGTATCTGCTTTGAATCTTTCATATCTTGTAACTGCCAAAAATTCGGTCCACAGACTCGGATTAATGCGATAATCAGATGAATGAGGTCGGCTATTTTTCTTAAGACTAATGATAGCGACGCTCATTTTTCACAATGGTCGGTTTGGTCGGTTCTTTGGTTCTGCAATATTCTTGCGAATCGAACAATTTTGGCTCTCAGCCATGTTGGAATTATTAGGATTTTCGCGACACCATCCGCATAGATTGTCATTGTAATCAAAAGTCAGGTCAGGTCCGTATTTTTAATCTTTATATATCGCAAATTTTCGATATTATGGCGCACCTCCGGGTCGTATATTTCGTGCAGAAATCACCTCAACGTGTCGAAGTGCAGCGATTTTAAAACGTGCCACGGGAAAATTGGTAATGCGGCTGCCGCGGGTTTATTAATGGTGATTGTTATTCGAAACGTTTGCCCGGGATGTCACCGCCATTTTTGGACTCACAAATTGGATTTTGATCACTGAAACTAACAATCTTTGCATCGTTAACAGATAGAGGTTTTTAATCATTGAAAATGTCAGTGACCGGAGGCAAATGCCTAGCTGGCTGTTTTGATACCACATAAATTTGTACAATCAAAAGCATATGCGGCCCAAAAACGCACTGACTCGTAAATCAATTTAGAAATCGGTCAAAAATTCCCCGTTGCAGCTTTTCGAAGCTAATTAATTTATAAGTGAAAGCATTATACGCCAACCAATCTCTATTGTGGTCTTTTATATGCCGCCTCGACGTACACAAACATAAAACTTATTATATTTTCATGTGTCCTTTTACAACCGCTCTATAATTCTTTAACAATAATAAACGTAAAGCCAGAGACGTGGATGGGGCAACTAAGAGGGAGGATAAAAGCTGGCAGGCGACTCTCAAGTCTTACGGCAAACCAACAATGCCCCTCTTTCACAGCCCTTGTAAATTATGACATTTCCACATAAACCCTATTTTCCCTTTCATTTCTCATAGCCACCAACATAAATAACACTCCGGACCTGCCGCCCTTTTCGTAAACTATTCCGGGAAGTTTTCACATGCGTCGGGCGGTTTCGACGGTCATTCCACGCATTTCTGTCGCAGGACCGATCGGATTTCCGGAAATTTGAAAAATCTGATACTTCATACCTGGCTGCAAAAAACTACATTCAAATTAATAACCCAGGCAACGATTACGATTTCTTAAAGCAACCTGACTACTCAATCAAATATAGTGTGTATAGTGTAATATACTTGTTTCAAACGCTCATAACCCTGCGAGGTTAATGTGCTTTTTTTCCAAATAAAAAAATGCAAATTTGACACAATTTTGACAAAAAACTTATTCTTAAAATTATACATACGAGGAGCAGACTTTCAAAAAGCAGTTTGTTCAAATTTGCATTTTTGCAGGAGAGAGCAAAAATTGTCCTTCTTTTAAGAAATAATTTTAATGTTTTATATCAGTGCCAATAAATGTAAAAAAATATGTACCTACAAATTGTACAC